GGCCGGGACCGCCCGGCGGAGAGGGGAGCCCGGGCCCGCTGCCAGGGGAGGGAAGGCACGGGGCGAGGTGGGGCCAGGCCCGCTCGGGAGAGCCTGGCTCACCGCCCCCAGGTGGGCGAGAGCGCGTCCAGGGCCCGCCCACCCCGGTGGGAAACGCTTTTTTTAAAACATCTTTATGTTGTTGTTATTATTTATCTCCCCTGGGGTACGGGGATGCTGGCCGTGAGCCGCCCCCGGGCGTGCAAGAACGCGTTAAGCCACCCTCCCCCCCGAAAGGCAATATAAGAGGTCGGCGAAAAACGTTTAGTTTTAAATATCTTTACATTATTATTTATCTTCTGGCCGGCTGAAAAGTGCTGTCCTCACCGCTGGCCTCAGCCACCGTACACGTGCGCTTTCTGAAAATCCTGATTTAAGCCAAATGTTTTGACTTTCCGTACAACTGCACACAATTTGGAGGCTGTCGAATGGTTGTAAGAACTGAAGTGTGCCTGGCTGCGAATTATCCGGGCTGTCTCTTCTGGAAGTATGGCCTGGGTTATATTTTATTTTTTTTTAAGTTTGCATCAAAATAAGTACATGTGCTTGCAATTTGCCAATTGAAAACACAACTTTTTTTTTCTTTTTTCATTTTGCTTTTTTTTTAGGTCAAATCGTTAAACAGCCGTCATGTTACAATAGGAACAAATATTCTCATGAACCGTTGCACCAGATAATGAAATGCAGGTAATGGCCAGGTTTTTCAAGCTTTCAATGGTTTAATAAAGGATTTATGGAGCACTGAGAACCTGTGTTTGTGTCCAAGGCAGAGAATAGAGTTCCTCGGTGCTATGGATACTGTATTAACCTGGTAGCTAAGGACCTGTCGCAACTCCTGCCAAAGGTAAACAGATGATAATTGAGGGAGGGGAACACGCCAGCATCATACTTCGTGGATAATGGTGAAATTAGGCCATCTGTTGCAGAAAGACTCAGATTGTTTATTTTTTTACGTGATCCTTAATTTACTTTCATGTGTTAAAATTTGTTGATGTGTTTAGGTGAGTATTTAATGGTGGCTGCATGGCAGTTAGCAGCTGAACAGTGCAAATTTAGTGCTAAGTACTTAGTAGTGAAAATCTTAATCATTAGCTGATTAAAACTTTAAGCTGAAGGTGGCTGGAGGAGATCTGTCTGCATTGATAAAGATACCTTAACTTGTTTTACAGCCTTCCTGTGGGGGAAAAAAAATAACACTATCTTTAAGGTGTTAGACAAACAAGATTTAGTTTTGGAATGTCAGTGTTTACAGCACTAAAGAGAAAGATAAAGTGCCATTGCATTTTAAAATAGCTAATTTGGATTAGAATCGAGACAGTTTTATACAGCTTCCTTTCTAAAGTTCAGTTAAGTGCAGACACAGAAAAACTGAAGGTCCTTTCTAATTAAAAGTAGAGACACTAATATCAATACAAATAAATAGACGTACAAGTATGTGAATCCTGTTGTTTATGTAAGGGAATATATAGGCTTGCTTTCCACAGTTGAACAATAAATCTAACATACTGGAAGTACAAAGCATGCCATGCCATGTATGCAGGGGTATTTTCAACTTCAATAAGAAACATTAATTATCAATAACTTGTGTGATACAATTACTTTATCTGTGTTCTCTTGGGAATAAATTCTTTGTCCAGGCCAAATGATATAAATTCATCTTTATGTATGACTTACAAAAGAGAAAACACTAATTGCTTATCACTAATGCATAATATCCTACAGATAACACATTTCCTGTGTTTGCCTTCTGTGTCAGTTCTTTAAGACGTAAGTGGAAGGATTTTGTTATCATGGTCAAGGTGACAAATCTTCCTTAGTCCTTACAATTCCTGTAGATCATTGGCCTTGTTGTGAGACCAAGATTAGCAGCTGCATAATTACCTCCTGATAAACCCACCATACAGCTTTTCCAGGAAAGTTTATGCTGGGAGTTACACCTTTAACTGGAATACTACCATTTTATATTTTAGATAAACACTGGTGCAAACTTGTCCAATGTTTTGTTCCTTTAAATAAAAATTGTGCTTGCACGTTTTCTAAATTTCAAAACAATTGGCTGTTTCCTTGAGCTCTTAATGTGGTAATAAAGATACCTCATTTTTCCACTGCAGTACATAAAGAGGCTGGTCCTTTGCAAGGGGGTATAGAACTGAGTTCAAAAAAGCTTTAACTTCTCAAGGTGTAAATGCATATGGAGGGCAGAATAAGCTTGTGCTGCCAAATCACAAGCATGCTGCATTACACTTGAGCGATAGCTTTGAAGGAGTTGAAGGAAACGTCCTCTTAATGTTTCTTGTAGTCACAACTTCCCAAGTTCCCTGAACCTCTTAGAGATTTTGTTCATTTTGTTTCTTTGTTATTTTAAATTAACTAGAATTTTTTTAGCAGTTTTGGTTTCTATGGCCTATCCAAGAATTATCAGATGCACAACTAGAGCAAATAAAAGTATTAATTTATTAATGACTCCTGTTTCATTTGGTGTCTAGTATTTTATTGCTTCTTACTGTCAACTTTTATGGATATATTGTGTTAAACAATACCATAACTAATATCCCTCTTTCAACTCCAAGGCATTTAAATAAATGTAGTGGTAGCATGCTGTCCTGGAAATATTTAAATATTTTGGAGATTATCAATTAGTTACTAGGCCGAAAGATAATTTGCAATTCAAGCACTTTTTCCGAGATCACTTACTCAGCAATAACAGAAGTCAGTGCCCCTGGCTTTAGGCATGTGCTGGAATTCTGAAGGTGAAGGAAGTTTTGTTTTGTTGCCACCACAGGGACAGTGAGTGCAGGACAAGCCAAGGCCTTGTGCTGCACTTGCTGTAGTTCCACTGTGTTAGACAGAGGTCAGGAACAAGCAGAATGTATGGCATTACTCTGTGAACAGCTCTCCCTCCTTGGAAAGCTTGATCAGTGCTACCGACAAGGGGAGGGGGCACATTTTGGGGTTCTTGTTGCTATTGAAGCAGTGGGGACCAGCAGTCCCTGTGCTGAAGCTTTTGCCATTCCCCTGGCAAAGGCAATTAGCAAGGACAGTGCAGTTCATGAGCACATTTAATCTCATTGTAGATCTCTGTGGCAGGAGCCTTGTGTCTACATATTTTTATTTTTGTTTTAGATTTTATAAAATAATCTGTCTAGTATGTATTTTCTTGCATGCAGATTATCTTGGTGGCAATATTAACTCAAAGTAATGCTAAACTGAAGTTATATGAGTGCAGTCCAGATGTTAATCAGATATTCCCAAATTAGAAGAGCAGCACAGCATGTTTGCAGAGTTTATTGTACTGAGATGTTGAATGAGATAAGTACTGTATTAGGCCATATAGAACCTACAGACGTAGTTTTTTCTTGTTTCACAGACTTTTCCCTGTATTAGGGGTGAACACTGAAGACATTACAGTTCAAACCATGAATACACCAGTAATGTTAATAAAGTTAATGCTGCCCATTGTCCTGTTTTGATGTAGCACTGATGCAGAGATACCAATGCTCATTGTTATCCCCTACTATCACCGTGACACTTTCATGCTGGCAGCCCATGTTTTTCTTTAGATTAACAGAGAGTAAATGTTTTCAACCTTTCTGAACCTATCCTTAGCTATGTTAAGTATAGCTAGATATGGACACTGATCTTCAGTGTGTCAGTCTGTGTGTCATCACAACTGTTAATAAAAATCTTTATCAGCATGTATGTGTTTGTCTTTGACCATGCAGCAGATTGCATGCTATTTAACATGGACATAGGAAGCTGCTGATCTAGAATTAAGAAATAATGAAATAAGAAATTTAAAATCAGTGTTTCAATGTATTTTATATCAATTGCAGCACATTCATTGTAAAATGATAGTAAATGTGTTCCAGAGAACATGGACATATATTTGCTAATGAATTTGAATGAAAATTGAATGAAAAAGATTACTTGAAAAATTTGACATGTATTAGAATCACTTTTAAATGACCTTGAAAATGAGAACAGGCTTTTTAGACTTTGTGTAACCCCATATAAAAATGGAGTAATGGTGTTTTCTAATAGAAAGTTGATCCCTTCGGAAAAAGAAAATAATCTACTTTGAATTACTTAGAATTAGTCTCTGTCCAAATGACGGACATCTAAGTGCAGCTACAGTTTATGGCTTAAATACTGATCAGAGTAAAATATGATTACCTGATGAAAAAACACAGTTAAATGTGAATCTTCTTCCTACTATGAGTTACACCAGCCTGTTTACCAGGTAAGTTATCAAATAGGGAAAAGACTGGAGTAAATGTCACGTTTGTTGCAAATACCTATTTATGTTTGTGTCATTTGTACTGAGCAGAAGGAATGGAAGTGTAATTGAGGGAGCAAAAGGAAGAGGAAAGTTGAACATATGAGGGAGTGGAATACATCTTCAGGGCAAGACAGAGGCCACGAGAAAGGGAAAATTGAGGAGCATGTCCCTGCTGTTTTCCAGTGTTGGGATGATAAAAACCAGCTGTATACCAGTTTGCAGCAGCTAACGTGCTTCAGCTTGGTATAAGTAACTTCAGTGAATCAATAAATTTATCTATAGAAGTTATATGTCTCTAATTATCTATGACTTAATTTAAACATTGCTGACATTCAGAATAAAATAAATCTAATCTATGTAGAAACACACAGCTTGAGGATTCAAAACATATTAACTCTGCTATCCAATGATAGCATAGTGTTACTGTGTTTCTAAATATAAACTTAATCTCACTTAGAAGTATAAATTTCAAAAAACATCTATAATCAGACAATGTTTAGCACAACAGAGCAAAAATATAGTTTTTTCAATATGTTTGGCATGTGTTTCTAGATCTTACAGAGTTAAGCTTTAGTCTTAACAAGCCAAGTCTTAGCTTTTGAGGAGCTGTAATGTAGGTTTGAATGTTAAATTCTTCTGAATTTCAAATTGCTGACTTATGTTTAATCTTCATGTAATTACTGGTCAGCAATAATCAAAATGTGGTAAGTTATATAGCAATGGAAGTCTTGAAGAGTGGGGTTTTTTTTCATTTTGGCAGAGAAATGACTATTGATATTTCCACTCACTGTTGGGGCCAAAGAATAAAGTTTGTTAAGGGTTGAATAGGCCAGATAGATAATGCTACTACTGTTTTCAGCAGATGCTAATGCAGTGTTTTATTTTGCACATGTATTAATCTTTGCTGCCTCAGTACAGAGTGGTGGGGGTAACTATGTTGGTCCTAAAGGTTAATTTCATTCTTTTTTAAGGCATGCCATTATTCTGTTAACAGTAATTGCTCTTTTTTGAATGATTAATTTGATCACGTGAACTGTTTCTAATTATGTTGGTGACTGGCAATTTCCTGTACTGAGAAATTGTAGTTGTGATCATATCCTATTTACTCAATGTATATGCCTTGAGAAAAATGCTCAATGATAGGCATTTTCAGAAATTGTCACTAATTTCAAGAACTGTTTGGAGACTTTATATAAGATGCTTAGCACTTGTTTTACATTGGTGTTGAGTATGTGCAATGTACTTGACAAATGAGGGCTGAAACAACTGGATGTGAGGCGGCAGGATGAGCAGGTTTGCAAATGCAGGCCTATCTGCTAAATTATCACCTGTGCTGTCACTGCTGTGAAAACTGAAAGGAGTGGGACGTGTTTCATGCGCATTTTACAGCGTTCTTGCACTCGAGCTGGGTGTGCTCGCTGCTGTAAGCTCTGTTTGCTCGCTTCAGTTACTGTTAATGAGCCAGAGCGTGCGCGGTGCCAGCCGCTGCCGCACTGAGGCTGCTGCTGGGTGAGGCAGCCCTGGCAGCAGCGAGGGCTGCTGGGCTGCCTGCAGCAGGCACACTGCGCTCCGCTGCCAGCAGCGCGGCCCTGCACACAGCTCCAGTGCCAAGGCTGCGTCCAGTTTACAAATACCAGAAAAACATCGGGCTGTCTCAGCTGCATGTACAGCAGCTTAATTAAACTGGGATTCAGATGAAGACTGTAGCCAGCAGAGAAGAAAGGTGGTGGGTTTGGCCAGAGGTGCAGGACAGTGCCTGCATGAAGATTCACCCACTCTCTGCCGTCTCACGCTGAATGGTTGTAGTAGCACTGTGCTAAGAATAGCATCATTCCCATGGACACAAGCCACTGGAGTTGAACACTCCTCCTTTTGCAATTGCTGCAGCAACTGGGCATGTAGTGTTTGTGAAGGGTTGACATTATGTGCATCTTCTGGGTGTGAAGCTGTTTGCACTGGTTCCACAGGATGTGATAGGCATTTAAATGGCATTCAGAATCAAGGGGGCTGTGATTCAAAGCCCCAACTTCTATCTCAGCCCAGAAGAGCTTCAGAGTGCCCAGAAGAGGTAATTTTACATCTTAGTACAAGTACACCAGTGATAACATCACCAAGAGCTGCAGTACCAGGATCCTGAAACTAAGCACTCTCTCTGGCAATCTGGCATTCAAAGCCTTTCAAAGGAAAGCATTCAAGGCCTTTAAAGTGCAACCGAGTGCTTTGCCACAACATACCACTTTAAAGGCACATTCTACATGTGTTCCTTACTTCACCTACACTTGTAAAACCGTTACATTTGACTTTTATTTGGAATGACTCTGACAAATAGATGTACTTATCAATAACTAGTCTCTGCAGCCCCAAACATTCATGCTCTAATACAGCTGTAATGCCCAGTGCTTGTGGGGACTCTGGTCTAGTCACTGTAGGTCTGCAGGAGCAAAGAACTGCAAGCCTTTTTTATGTGCTCCCTGATTTGCCTGTAACTGTCCTCAAGGTTTTTTACAGGCAGGCAGCGTGTAGGCCTGATATGAATATGTCCCTCACAGTAAATTAAAGAACTTCATCAGATGTTCACTGGTTCATTAGAGCGGGACCTGTGATCCCTGCCCATTACACACAGGCTGCCTCTCCAGCTTCATATTGCCCTTCCTGAGTACCTCTGCCACCTCTAAGCCTGGGGCATTTGTCTGTCTGTGAATCAGCTCAGGCATTCCTGCAGTTCTCAGTTAGGTGTGCAAAGGTAAACCAGCTCCCTTCATGAGTGGATCACAAGTTCTGCTTTAGTGTTTTGTGCCAGAGAGCCTCTGCTGCCCAGCTATGATCCAGTCTGTCTTCATCCACCTGGTGTCATCCTAATAAATTATGACATGTGTGCTCAGAATTTATCACTTTGCTGAGTGAACGAACAGCAAACAGAAATCTGAAGGATGCTCTGGAGATGCTTTTTACAATGCAATATAAACATAGCGAGTCGCTCTCCTCAGAAGTCTGTGGATATGTGCACACTGGGATAGTTGCTGGGCCTAGCTAATTCAGGAAAGAACATAAAGAAGTCATTGATTCAATGGGAAACATTTACCCAAGAGTTATGTTCCAACAGCTTAGGTCTCAGAAGTGGAATTCCACTTTGATAATTGTCAATATTCATAAAAAAACTTACTTTGGCTTCTGAGAATTAACTTCTAGGTTGGTTTAAATAACCAGTTATCATATGCTTTCATTTTCTTTCCATGGCATTGTTAATTAATTATATGTTAAGTCTTGAATAATTTTAAAGATTTAATTTATGACCTAACTATACTGGCCCTTTAAAAAGTCCAAAGGGCAAAGACTTGCAAGCCTTACACGTTCATACCAGCAGAGGAGCCCTTAGCATGTGAGTGTCCTGTAAGCAATATTTAAATATAAACATTAAATAATGATGTGTTCTGAAGGTAAGAGCTGTGGTTTTTGCAAACCTTTTGCACACTTGTGTGTGCCAGGCAGACAAGCACTCTGGATTTTGAAAGATAACCCCCTTTTGAACTGTAAGCATCCCATCTCACTATGATTCCTGGGGAGAAAATCTTGTTCCAAGTGCTTGGATTTATATAGGCCCTGTGGAGTTCACTGGTGGGTTTATTTGGCAGGTGGGCCTTATTAACTTGCCAGCAAGGGACTGTTTGACCTGCTTAGGTTTGTAGAGCTTGTAAATAAAGATTCTGTCAGGGAAGAGAGATTCTCTTGTGCTTCAGACTATTTATATCTCTTCTAACTGTGGCTGTTAAAGCTTATAAAGAAACAGAAGGTCTGGGATGTGAGACAGAAAACCCTGAGGGAGTTTTACGTGTTGTATTTGGATTCCTGTGTTAATATCCTAAAATAAACACAGCATGCCAGAAAATGGGGAATATTTTTATTGTAATTATTATTAACTCAAAGACATAAATTATTGGTTATTGAATGGCTGAGCTTGGCTGTAGAGGACAATAAAATAACCTCTTAATTTAACACTAGCAGCTATTGGCAATCAATGGGAACCAGACATTTAATCAGTTTCATTTCCCTCTTTTTCTGCTATCTTTTTTTGCATTGTTTTCAAGTTTAATAATTACTAGTATTTACATTTTTTACAGCTCAGGTTAATAATGAATACAATAAGTTTCAATAAATTGTAATAATAATAAAACTATGATAGACTCTTCATCAATAGAATAATTTTAATTAGACAGAAATATATTGAAAGGTCTGTTGTATTACAGAATGAAAAAAAAACTCCCTTTAAGAAGTCTTTTTGTCTGTCTAGCATAGGTCTAATTATAGGGTCCTTTCTAACTCTGCAATATGTAATTTTTCATAGGTGTATCTTATTCAAATAACACCAAGTTCAGCATCTACCAGAGTTGAGATTTTGAGTCTGTATTCCTTGTTCATTTGAAAGTCAGTTTTGGAATATTTTTGCTTTCTGTCCTGAATGACCTCGACAAATGTTTTTTGACCTTAGTCAGGTTGGACTAATCTGGTATTTAGGCATTTTGTTTTAAAATATTTTATATTAACAGTCACTAGTTCATAGAGAATCTGTTGAATTTACAATTGCAACAATACTGCAAAAGTATTTCACTCTAGAGCTACTGCAGTTGCCCAGGAGAACTTGCTATTAAGGAAGGACCAGTAAGGTATTACTGCTGATGCACAGAGTAGAGAAAGGCTTCCAAATTTTTCAAGTCACCAAAATTTAACACATGGAAGCCACCTGGGAGAAACATGAAGACAGGCTCTTTCTTCTTTTGTTCCACCTCCTTTCCAGTGGACATCACTTTTGTGAGCTGGATGCCCTGGCTCCCAGCACTGCTGTGAAGTGGGACTGGCAAACTACTGTGCACCTGTTCCAGGGGGATTAGCCACTGGTGACAGCCCATACCCAGAATTTCCTCCACACATAGTATTACCCTTCAACAAGTGAGTCAGAACCATTTGACTTGGAGCTTTTTATAGTTGTTGAGGGTAATGATAATCATCCCAATAAAGTAGTTCTTAACCTCATACTGAATAGTTTGCCATTGGTTGAAGAAGATACCAAGCTCTCCTTCACTCCCATCCCTATCAGCTTTACCAGCACTGGCAAAACACTGTTAAGCTTTTACAATAATCTGTCATTACAATGGGAAGTGAGTGCTGTCTGGTGGATGAGATACCAGTCTGAGGCCAGAATTGACTCCCCTAATTAATTCACCATTGGGAAATCTAAGACTGTATTACTTCCTCTGCTGTTTTGATCTTCCTAATGATAAATACATTCATTTGAGAATTCAATAAACAGCTCATGCTGAAAATCAAGTATGCCAGGATTGGTTTGCAGAACTAAACTTTAAGTTTTCTACTCCAAAGAATCAAATATTATCTGTATTGTATTCCTACATGTTGATATGCTAATTGATTACAGAAATAATATTCATGGGGTTTTTTTCTCTTTTGTCTGCTGCTTACAAGCCTTTGTGTCATTCTAGTAGAACACAGTTTTTAATATAAATACTTTTATTTTCTTACTTTGAAAACTGTCCATGTATAGTTCAGGGAATAAATGTCCTAAATATAATTCCACCCAAGTCTCTCTTTTTTCTTTTTATCATTTTATCTTCTCTTTTTTATCTCCTCCTTTTCCCCCCCTTTTTTATTTCTTTTTCTTTTTCATTTTCCCCCTCCCTTTCTGCAAGTACATAAAAAGAATTAGGCACTTCCTGCTATCCCTAAGCACAAATTTAGTTCCTGGTATATCCACTCCAACGTATTCAAGAAAGGAATAATCTTTCCGAGGCTGTAGTGCTTTTACAGTGGCTGCAGTAGCTATAGCTCAGACTGTAGCTCCATACTGGAGGGATTGTGTAATGTTTGATCTTTGGAAGTAATAAGGAATAGGCCCATTCATAGGTGAGAATAATATGCATTGTGCAGTACAGTGAAGCAGACAAATGTTCCTGCATAGAGAAGACCACTGTGTGCTAGAATAAAACAATTCATACCAGCCACAAAATTCACTGAATAAAAATATTTTTTTTTTCTAAAATAAACCCCTCAATTTTCTGGCTAAGATAAAGTAAGACTGATGAGCTACCACTTGTAAAAGGTGGATTTTATGAAAGAAGAGGATGTTAAGTGCTCTAGAGGTGAAGGATTTGCAGGAGAAGCATGATAAGATAAAGATTTGTCTAAAATAGGACTGGGAAATGGCTAAGTGGGAACTGTGAGCTGAGTGTGTGGGAGGAAAGGAGGTAAGCATTCATTTCACCAAACATTAAGAACAGAAAAAAGGCATGGGTGGAGGGCAGATCTCTTTTTGTTAATCTGCTTTAAGCTGACCTGTTGATTTCAGTTCCTGCAGGGCATTAAGGCTGTGTTCAGTGGGCTTTTAATGTACAT